CTCTGCGCTTTTCTCCCATAAGTGTGTCCTTATAGTAATCGGTTATGGTGTTCAACCAACACTGGTTTTCTTGATAATGGTTTACCTTGATTGCTTCCTTTAGTGTTTCGTATTCTGGGTTTAATGGAGTTTGTATGTATCTGTGGAACATGCTCACATGGGAGGTGTCAGTTAAATTCTCGTCCACTGGTATAAAATCAGTGTCACCATCTACTCTGTCTACATCCTTAACTTTGATGCACACTATGTAGGAATGGACGAAGCGAAGGGTTTCCTCCATATCTGGGTCAAACATTATTGTCTTCATCAGTTTCTTGAAAACATACCTGTCTTTGGTCTCGTATTGAAACACACGTCTGCCCGATAAGTCTTCTATATAGTCTGTTGTTTGTATAGTTGCTCTCTTTGTCTCATACCAGATCGGGATTAGAGGTCTCCCCTTGCTGTCTTTGAACGATGCTTTGATGGTATCCTTGGGGAGTTTAAATTTGAAGAACATAAGGTCTACGGAATATGCATGTGTTGTTTTGGATTGTTCCGCTCTCACCCTCTTCTGTATTCGCTGAACTGCGGTCTTCTGTGTTAGTCGTCTGCGGATTTCTGTGAGTTTGTTGTCACGCTTTGCTGTTTGCATTCTTTCACCCAATGGTTTCTTTTCCTTGTGTTTTTCGTATACCTTGTTGTATTGGTCACTTGCCTTTTGCTTTTGTTGGTCTGTCTTGGCATTGATGAAGTTCCTTATTAGTTTGTCTGCTGTCGTGAACTGTGCTATTTTTCTGTCATCGTATAAACCGATAATATTTTTGATTTTAGTTTTGGTTGCTCTGTTAAGTCTGCCTTTGTAAAAATCATACACTGTCTCTAATGCTTTTACACCGCGCTGGATGGTCTTACTCATGTCAATATAATTAGATTATAAAATAGTTTTATATTTAAATGTTTTTCTGAAGATAAGTTTTTAAAACTAAATATTTTTTTGGAAAATTCTGTTCAGAAAATTCACTTAAAGAAATATTATAATATATAGTATAGTAATATGTCTATGAAAACCCCAGAGGATATGACCATGGAAGAGATAAGAGAACAGTTGGCAATTTACAACCGACTGTATTACTACAAGCGAAGACAGGAGGAAGGATACATGCAGAAAAAACGCGACTCTGCCTTAAGTGCATTCAAAAGAAGAAGTTAAAGCAATATCTAAAAGACAACAATATCAATACCACAATAGAAGATTTAACCGAAGAGCAACTGGCAGAATTCAACAGCAGTCAGAATAAGAAAGGACCGAAGTATGATATGAATAATGTTAAAGTTGTGATGCCCATGAAAGCAGAAGAATGCTGATTTAATTTTAGAAATAAGACTAAATCAATATTTTTGTATTGTAGTTATATGAGTAAGCAAGAGATTATTAGTAATGTGTATTACGATCGCGCGGGATATGGGAGCAGACAAAGGACTTTAAAGGAAGCGCGGGAGAAAGATAAAAGTATAACTATTGACGATGTTAATGAGTTTTTCAAGAAGAACGTTGAAGCAAAAAGAAAACCTGCGGGACAGAACAGTTTTGTAGCACCACATTCGGCATACGAGTATCAAATGGACTTGTTTTTTATAAATGATCTGGAAGATCAAAAGTTTAAGGTTGGTATGATCATGATAGATGTCTTTGATAAGTTTATGCATGTGGTAGCAATAAAAGGTAAAAAAGAAGAGGATTTAGCGAGTGGTATGATTGAGTGTCTGCATAAGATGGGGAAGAAGCCTAAAATACTCTATACTGACGATGAAGGTGCTCTTTCTACGGAAGCTATTCAAACATATTTAAGGGAACAGAAGATAGAGCACCACAGGACAAGGGCACATGCAAATTTCAGTGAGAGGGCGATCAGAACTTTTAAGGACATGCTATATAAAAGAGTTGAGGCTGACGAGAAAAAGGGCAAAAGTAATATTCAATGGACTGATTTTATTCACGAGATATTGCTGACATATAACAACCAGATGATACATTCCGCCACAAAATTCACACCGAAAGAGGCACGGAAACCAAGTAACGAATTAAGCGTCAGGTTGAATATTACTAGTAGTGGTAAACGGAATAGGATATATCCGGATCTTGACAAGGGAGACGAAGTCAAGATATTTAGGAAGCGAAAACCGAATGAGAAGGAAAGGGTCGGAAATTGGAGTAAAAATACATATACAGTTGAGAGAATAGAAAAGAAATTAAGTCAAAGTCACTATTATGTGGAGGGTATGGAGAGACCTTATTTAAGATTTGAGCTATTGAAGCTATGTTAGAGGTATCACAAAACTATTTTATTTTTCTTTGCTTTTGCTTAGGTTTCATCTTGCTGTCACGTGTTTAAACTGTTTTGTGCTTGCTGACCGACATATCCACTAACACTGGTGCACGTTTTATCGTTTGCGTGTTTTGTTTTGGAAAGGCTGAGCCTGCTGAAAAACGAAATGGCAAGAGGCTCGCAAAAGTCTGAGTAGATGTACATACACGTGTACAATATCACAGAAACGTCCTCGTTTGAATTGCCCTGCTGACTGCGTTCTGGTTTACCAGCTTCATACTTCCCTGTTCACAAGCCGAACCATTTTGGGGACACGTGCTAGACAGTTGCAGAATGCTCCCACATGCAGCAACAGCCAGTTGCGGATTTCACTGCACATCTAAGAACTCCTCCTAATGGGTGAAGTTACGACGATGTTTTGATGAGAATCATCGTTCAGGCAGGGGGCATACCAATGACACACACTGCGCTGTTGATATCCTCATGTCATGGGGATATGCAAGAAGAAGCGTAGAAAAAGCCTCACGAACCACGCAGCGTGGCTCAAAAACAACTGCACCTCGCTTCACCTTTTAGAGACGACTGTTTTGCCGCACATAGCATCGGTCGGGCTGTCCACAACTCAAGCAAAGTCCGGCTCACATGCATCTGGGCCTGCATCCATGGCACAGTCTGCGCAAATCACATCCTGAAGAAGGGAGCATCGATTTGGATCGAGATTGAGTTGAACGCCTTCCCTGCAGAAATGGAACGTAGCACGGGCTTGCATGAGAGCGTTCCACGAAGCGCTCACGAAGGGCTTCCGCACCCAGCCATTCTGCAGGATAAAGAAGGTCTGCTCGGATTTTTTGTAGAAGCCGATGGCCACCATCGCAGGCGATTCACCCTCTGCCCCTGTAAGTTGCTTATGCTCAAGAGCGCCGTCAGCCTTGAAGCTTTGTGTGGTTCTGAATCCTGTCACAAGCGCTACCCCCAACTGTGTCAAATATTGGGCACACTGCTGCGGCGATGCTCCAGCTTGGCAAGACATCGGCAAGAAGTCATCTTTCTGCATTTTCGTAGCGGAAAGCAAAAAAGCAAATGCTGGGTAACCTTGCCCTCGAAGGTATGTTTGGATGGCCTCAAACGGTGCTTGGTGGAGGATGCTCTTCAATGCGTTGACGGTCGTGTGATGTTCTCTCTGATGGTCATGATCATAATTCCCGGCATATGCTGTAAAAGTAGCAGCAGCCGCCGCAAAGCAGACAGCATTGGCCTGCAGGCGCAGCACTCCGATCGATGTGTCAAAGTTCTTTGCCCAGAAAACACTCTTTTTCGCGTCCTGCTGCACTGACGACAAAAAGTTGTCCAAAGCCCCATCAAATGTCAGATCCTCGCTGTTGTTGTGCTTGGCATCACCGGTGACCAAATAACGCAAACGCTTTTGTACCTGCTCGTCCTGAGTCTGCGCGAAGACATGCAACATCTTCATCTCGAGCTCCCCGAACTCCCCGCGCCGTCCGTTCTGAATTGCATTCAGGAACTCCTTGCCGGCCTCTGTGACCTGCTTTGTGATCTGGCTGACGAGCCAAAAAAAACCAAACAAATGAACATGTCACAGCCCCGAGCCACCAAACTAACCAAGCAATAATCCTAGCAAGGACCAAACCTCCTAGCGTGAACTACTTAAGGGGAATAAATGGGCTAAGTGGTGGGAATAAGGAGGGAGGTGAAACCTAGAACTTAGAGGAAAACATGAGGATGTGTTGGGACGAGATGCCTGTGCTGAGGCTTCTGGTGCATCGAAGACAATGAGGATGGGCTTGCCTGCAGAATTGCCATCAGGAAGTATCTCGTTGACCGAAACGTCAGAATCCTCAACATCACAGGCATCTGCGTTCTTGTAAAGCATCATTTTGTCGGCAGCCACACGTAGTTCGGATTTTCTCCGTGCGACTGAAATGAGGTCATCGACATCTTGTTGCTCACCAAGCTCCGTCGCAAAAACCTTGATGGGCCTGCGGTCTTGTACTCGCACCCACCAAAACTTGCCCTCCCTGAGTGGGGAGCGGCTTCTGTCTGCCATGGGCACGGGCTGGAGGGAAGTTAGTGAAGCATTCGGAATTCGTGATTCTTACACACTTGACCTCTGAAGTATAGTCTGCAGTTGACACCGCATGCGTGGCAGCAAACATGTGGACCTCAACATGCACACGCTGCAACTATGCATGTGGGTAAACTGCTCAAAAAGCTACAGCGTCACCCTGCATCCTTACCTTGCCCATTTCGTACAAATACAACAGGTAACCCTGAACCCAATAATATCTATGAGAGAACCCTTGCCCGTTTTGGGTAATAATGCCACCTTAGGGAATATGGATGGGGTAATTGGTTATTCCTATACTGGTCTTGGTAATGGGGAAGTAGTGGTGATATTTGGGGGATTGTAGTGGGGAGTATAGGAATAATCCTCTTATATGGATGCGGTAATCGGTTCTTCCTATACTGGTTTTGTAATGGGGAAGTAGTAGTGATATAGTTGGTGAGGTGTAGGGGGGGAGTATAGGAATAATCGTCTAATGGGTTGACTGGTGGTATTATTACCCAAAATGGGCAAAGGTTCTGCTAACTAAATACCCCATAAGTATAGACCATATATGATACTTGGAACCCTTGGGGTTTGCAAGGCTCCAGAGATTCCAGGAACCGCGCCTGAAGCTTCGGCTGAGGCATCGCTTCCACCCTCGGATCGTCCAGGGAGTACTCGGGTACCCAGAGACTCCAATATCCCTTAACTAAGGAAGATTCCTGAAATTATAGTGGGATACCAAATATGATTTAAGGAATATTCCTTAATTAGGGGATACTGGAGTCTCTGGGTAGTTCTCGAATTCAGGACCCCTCGTTAGGAACCCAAACGAAGGCATCGCCCCCCTAAATTAGTGAACTACCTACATATTCCCTGAAGAAGACGAGTACCACTTTTCCTAGTATTCAGTCTCAACATGAGCTTCAACGTGAACCCCAAACCCTACACGGCTTGAACACTGAAACACTCCATACGCCTTGACAGAAAGACAATACCTTTAGGAACCGAGATGCTCCTACTCTCAGATACTATGTATATCGGCATACACACTTTTTATATGGATTTATATATCTAGGTGATGTGCATACATATGTATATATATAACATGTGTTGAGGTACACATTTGTAAGTTTCTTTGTATAATTAAAAATCATTCACACCGTTTAAACCCTAGCCTAAACCCTAAACTCTCAACCGTACACCCTAGACCCTACACCCTAAACAACCGCAAACCCTAGACCCTAGACTCTACTGCGCCAGGACGAAAGTTCGTCGCATCCGGTAGGTCCGCTAGCACATACTTGCAAACCCCTTTCCCCCATAGACTCCTTCACGAAGTGGCAATGTCAGGCCCGGACCCCACTAATTCCTCCGTCGGAACAAAAAAACAGTGTATGTTCATTTTGGCATGGAAATTCCTCCGCTAGCCAGGCCACGTAAAATGCACTTCTTCGTACTCCGAGTCCTCCGCCAAGCAAAGACATCTTAGTGCGACAAAACTTTCATCCTGCTGATGTAAACCCTAGACCGTAAACCCGAAGCTCTAAACCCGAAGCCCAAAACCCTAAACCCCTAAAACCCCTAAATTCTAGACCCTAAACCCGAAGCCCTAAAGAAATCCCTGGCCGCGGCGCTTCCAGGCTTCGAGCAGCCTCTGGTCCAGTTCTTTGATCCTCTCTTCCTGGCCGGTAAGACCTGGCTTCAGGGCTTAGGGTTTCAAGGGGTTTAAGGGTTTATGGGTTAGGGGTGAAAGGGTTTAGGGTTTTCAGGGTAGCACCTGGCTTTCTTTTTTTTTTGAGCGCCTTTTTCCGCCTAGCAGTTAAGGTCAGTAGCACCTGGCTTTAGGGCTTAGGGCTTTAAGGGTTTTAGGGTTCGGGGGTTTGCGGATTAGGGTTGAGGGGCTTAAGGGTTTAAGGGTTTAGGGGTGGAAGAGTTTAGGGGTTTAGGGCTTAGGGCTTTAAGGGGTTTAAGGGTTTATGGGTTAGGGGTGAAAGGGTTCGGGCTTCAAGGGTTTAAGGGTTTAGGGTTTTAGGGTTTCAGGGTTGAGGGTTTAGGGTTCATGGGTCCAACTCCCTCACACTAGTCATAGGGTTTAGGGTTCAGGGCGAGTAAACAAGGGTAATAACAGCAGTAATAATGCCAATAGCAGAAAAGGATAATGGTTTTTACGCTACTGATGATAATCATACTAACAATAGCAAGAACGAGGAAGAACAGTAAGTAAAGCCTGGTTCCGCGACGATGCCCCTCAACGAGAACAAGACCAATCACAATAATGACGGGCTTGAGGGCTTAGGATGCAAGGTTTAAGGCTTCCCCTCAAGAAATACAATTCTAATAACTAATTAATGACAATCATAACCATGATAGCATGAGTTGGAACACCAATCCTCGGCTCACTACTATCCCTTTGATATGAGCATAAGAAAAATCAACCCATCCTAAATATTTCTTTCGAAAGACAGCGAGTACTCTGTTTTCTATGGATCAGTACAAGGCTACTGCTGTGCGGCCGAGTCGCGGAATACTTTCGAGAGGTTCTCAGCAGCTGCGATGTCTCGGGTGCTGTATCTGCTGGACTGATGGAGCAGCGCGCAGATGACCTCGTACACCGGCCTTACTTCCCGGAATAAGCCACAGAAATACGAAGGTTGAGCATTCAGACTACCACTGAACAATAAGAGCCCAAAGCGTTTAACGATCTGGCATTGGTTGGGTACGGCCCCCATACAGTAACAGTCTATAATAGGGCTACTATTAAGGGCCTTATATATTTATATTATGAATATTATCCAACTGTTACTGAGTGGGGGCCGTACCCAAGGCATTGGAGAAGTGAGCGGCAGCATGCACCAGGGATGCTCGGACTCATTCCGCTCCTGGAGCTCTGCGGCCCGAGTCTCAAGTATCTCGGCCACCTCAAATTTGAGTGCTTAATATAGGGGACTGAATAGTTAGAACAGGGTTCCTTTAAAGGGGTCCTTCAAAGGGATACTTTCAGGGATCTTTAAGGGTACTATAATGTAGGGGCCTTGATGATTAGAATAGGGGTTTGGGGTATATTGCAGTATAGATATGATAAGGACCCCCAAGAAATTACATTGGCAAATATTTGGGCCCCTATATTGGAGTGTAGCGTTTCGGGCCCAGCCCTCAAAACATTCAAACTTGAACGCCCCCAGCATCTAAAACAATTCGACTGAAAAAAGAAGGAGCGCTACATTTCGAATACGACAAAAAACTCGAAGAGCTCTCCGGCCACCTCAACGTCTTAAGCCCCAAAACCTTAACCTTAAACCCTCAAAACCTAAACCCCGAAAGCCCGTTTCGCCCTAAATTTTACATCCCTCAAACCCTAAACTACTAATTGTCGCGAGATATGTTTCGGATCTGTTTGGGACTTGCTTGCTGCATCAACGCACAAGCTGCACAAGCCGGACAATGCAAAACAGGCGCAAGCAACAGTGTAACTACCACGGTACTACTACTACGACGACGACGACGAAGACTACAACTACGACTACTACTACTACTACTACTACTACTACTACTACTACTACTACTACTACTACTACTACTACTACTACTAGTTCTACTACTACTACGACTACTACTACTACTACTACTACTACTACTACTACTACTACTACTGCTACTGCTACTGCTACTGCTACTGCTACTGCTACTGCTACTACGACTACGACGGCTACTACCACTACTACCCGTCCTCCTCCTCCTCCTACTACTACTACCACTGCTGCTGCTGCTGCTACTACTACTACTACTACTACTACTACTACTACTACTACTACTACTACTACTAACTACTACTACCACTACTACTACTACTACTACTACTACTACTACTACTACTACTACTACTACTACAAACTACTGCCACTACTACTACTACTACTACTACTACTACTACTACTGCTACTACTACTACTACTACTACTCCTACTACTCCTACTACTCCTACTACTCCTACTACTCCTACTACTACTACTGCACCATGACTGTAATTCTACCGTACTAGCGCTGTACTACTACTGTGCGGCTCAGGGTTTAGAGTTTGGAGTTCTGGGTTTAGGGTTTAGAGTTCTAGCATTGGTGGTTCAAGGCAAAGTCAAGCAATTGGGACCGTTTATGATTTCCGAAGGTTACCGCTGACCTCTCTGCGATTTATGACGAATGTCGCTGCATAACGGACCCATACAAAGATAAAAACATTCAAGGGTGGACGTTGGCGTTACAAACTTACTGTGTGTCTTGCACTTTGGAAAGTCTACGTTTTAAAAAACCAAAAAATCAAGGGTGTACGTTGGCGTTACAAAAATACAAAGATTCAAGGGTGGATATTGGCGTTACGAACTCGCAGTGTCCCTCAAACTTGGAAAGTCTACCATACAAAGGTACAAAAATTCAAGGGTCGACGTTGGCGTTACACACTTACAGTGTCTTTGAAATGTGCGAAGTTGACCATGCAAGATGCAAAAAGCATGGGTGGACGTTGGTCAGTGTCCTTGAAAGTTGCAAAGTCTACCATGCGAAAATAAAAACAAATAAGGGCGGACGTTGGCGTTACAAACTCACAGTGTCCTGGAAAATGTTGAAGTCTACCGTCCAAAGATGCAAACAAGTCCGGGGTGGACGTTGGCGTTACAACGTTAGAGTGTGCTTGAAACTTGCAAAGTCTACCGTACAAAGATACAAAATCTCAAGGGTGGACGTTGGCCTTACAAACTGGCAGTGTCCTTGAAATTTGTAAGGTCTACCATACAAACATAAAAAAATAAAGGGTGGACGTTGGCGTCACAAACTTACTGTGTGCTGTTAACATTTGCAAAGTCTACCATGCAAAGATACAAACAATCAAGGGTGGACGTTGCCGTTACAAACTTGGAGTGTAAACCAATGTTTGCAAAGTCTACCATGCAAAGATACAAAAAATCGTGGGTGGACGTTGGCCTTACAAACTTACAATGTCCTTGAAGTTTGCAAAATCTACCATACAAAGACACAAAAGTTCTAAGTTCTAATGACTGGCAACTAGTTCATGCTTGCTTGTGCCGTTCCTTTGGTTGCCGGTTCCGCACGTGTGATATCCCGGCCGCCATTGGAGGTGCTAGCGCATCTTTGTATGGTAGACTATGCGGATTTCAACTAACACTATAAGTTTGTAACACCAACGTCCACCCTTGAATTCTGGTATCTGGTAGATCTTGCAAACTTCAAAGACAGTGTAAGTTTGTAACGCCAACGTCCAGGACGTTGGCGTTACAAACTTACAGTGTCAGTGATGTTTGCAAAGTCTGCCATGCGCAAAGATACAAAACACCACGGGCGGACGTTGGCTTTATAAACTTAGTGTTCTTGAAAATTTCAAGAACTACCATGCAGAAATACAAAAAAAGTTCAAGGGTGGACGTTGGCGTTACAAAGTCTACCATACAAAGATACAAGCATTCAAACCTGGTGTTTATCGTTACAAAACTTACAGTGTAGTTGAAACTTGCCAATTATACCATACAAACATACAACAAATTCTAGGGCGGACATTGGCGATGCAAAGTGACAATGTGTTTGATATTTGCGGACTCTAACATACAAACATACGTAACAGGGTGGACGTTGGCGTTACAAACTTACAATGTCCTTCGAACTGCAAAATCTGCCATACAAATTACAAACTTACGATGTCCTTCAAACTGCAAAGTCTACCATACAAAGATGCAACAAATCATGGGTGGACGTTGGCGCTACAAACTTACAATGTCCTTCAAACTGCAAAGTCTACCATACAACGACACAACAAAATCATGGGTGGACGTTGGCGTTACAAACTTACAGTGTTCTTCAAACTGCAAAGTTTACCATACAAAGAGACAACAAATCATGGGTGGACGTTGGCGTTACAAGCTTGCAAAATCCTTCAAACCTCACTCTACCATACAAAGATACAACAAATCATGGGTGGACGTTGGCGTTACAACCTTACATTGTCCTTCAAACTGCAAAGTCTACCATACAACGATACACAATTCAAGGGTGGACATCGGCGTTACAAACTTGCAGCGTCCGTCAAACCGCAAAAGTCTACCATACAAAGATACAAAAATCATGGGTGGACGTTGGCGTTACAAACTTACAATGTCCTTCAAACTGCAAAGTCTACCATACAAAGATACAACAAATCATGGGTGGACGCTGGTGTTACAGACTTACAATGTCCTTCAAACTGCAAAGTCTACCATACAAAGATACAACAAATCATGGAAGGACGTTGGCATTACAAACTTACGATGTCCTTCAAACTGCAAAGTCTACCACACAAAGATACAACAAATCATGGGTGGACGTTGGCGTTGCAAGCTTGCAATATCCTTCAAACTGCAAAGTCTGCCATACAAAGATACAACGAATCATGGGTGGACGCTACGATGCAAAGATACAGCACATGATGGGTGGATGTTGGCATTGCAAGCTTACAATGTCCTTCAAGCTGCAAACGTCTACCATACAGAAATTCAATAAATCATGTGTGGACGTTGGCGTTACAAACTTACACTGTCCTTCAAACTGCAAAATCTACCATACAAAGATGCAACAAATCATGGCTGGACGTTGGCGTTTGAAGCATACAATGTCGTTCAAAATGCAAAGTCGACCATACACAGATACAAAAAATCATGGGTGGACGTTGGCGTTACAAACTTACGATGCCTTTCAAACTGCAAAGTCTACCATACAACGATACAACAAATCATGGGTGGACGTTGGCGTTACAAACTTACAATGTTCTTCAAACTGCAAAGTCTGCCATACAAAGAGACAACAAATCATGGGTGGACGTTGGCGTTACAAGCATACAATGTCCTTCAAACTGCAAAGTCTGCCATACGAAGATACAACAAATCATGGGTGGACGCTACGATGCAAAGACACAGCACATGATGGGTGGATGTTGGCATTGCAAGCTTACAATGTCCTTCAAGCTGCAAACGTCTACCATACAGAAATTCAATAAATCATGGGTGGACGCTGGCGTTACAAACTTACAATGTTCTTCAAACTGCAAAGTCTACCATGCAACGATACAACAAATCAGGGGTGTACATTGGCGTTACAAGCTTACAATGTCGTTCAAACTGCAAAAGTCTATCTTACCAAGATACACCAAATCATGGGTGGACGCTGGCGTTACAGACTTACAATGTCCTTCAAACTGCAAAGTCTACCATACAACGACACAACAAATCATGGGTGGACGTTGGCGTTACAAACTTACAATGTTCTTCAAACTGCAAAGTCTGCCTTACAAAGATACAACAAATCATGGGTGGACGTTGGCGTTACAAGCATACAATGTCCTTCAAACTGCAAATTTACCATACAAAGAGACAACAAATCATGGGTGGACGTTGGCGTTACAAGCTTGCAATGTCTTTCAAACTGCAAAGTCGACCATACAACGATACAACAAATCATGGGTGGACGTTGGCGTTACAAACTGGCAATGTCTTTCAAGCTGACAAAGATACAAAAAATCGTGGGTGGACGTTGGCGTTACAAACTTACAATGTCCTTCAAACTGCCAAGCTTACCATACAAAGATACAACAAATCATGGGTGGACGCTGGCGTTACAGACTTACAATGTCCTTCAAACTGCAAAGTCTACAGTACAACGATACAACAAATCATGGGTGCACGTTGGCGTTACGAACTTACAATGTCCTTCAAATTGCAAATTCTACCGTTCAACGATACAACAAACCATGGGTGGATGTTGGCATTACAAACTTGCAATGTCTTTCAAACTGCAAAGTCTATACAACAAATCATGGGTGGGCGTTGGCGATACAAACTTACGATGTCTTTCAAACTGCGAAGTCTACCATACAACGGTACAACAAATCATGGGCCTAAACCCCAAAGCCCTAAGCTTTAAATCCCTCAAGCCCTAGATCCCGATGTCCCTAAGCCCACCTCTTCTGATTAGATCCCCAAACCCCCAAAACACTGAAACCCCAAAACTAAACCCCTAAGACCCCAAATCCCTAAAGCCCTAAGTCCCTAAGCCCACCTCCTCCAGCCCCCTAAACCTAAACCCTAAATCCCTAAGTCCCTAAACCCTAAAGATCCCAAAACCCTAAACCCTAAGTCCCTAAACCCTAAAAATCCTTAAACCCTAAGTCCCTAAACCCTAAACCCTAAGTCCCTAAGCCCACCTCCTCCAGCGCTCCCTCGTCCTGCAACTGTCCGAAAGCTCGCCGGAAGAGCCCCGGGCTCTTCATCAGCTCTCGCCAACCTCGGGTTTTGGGCCTTGGGGCTTTAGGGCTTTAGGGTTTTTTGGGGCCTTAGGGCTTTAGGGTGAATTTTGGGCTTTAGGGGGTGTAGGGCTTTAGGGGTTTAGGGTTCAGGGGTTTGGGGTTTAGGGGTTTAGGGGTTTGGGGTTCTGGGGTTAGGGGTTTAAGGCTTTTGGGGTTTAGGGGTTTGGGCTTTAGGGGTTTAGGGTTTAGGGTTTAGGGCTGTTGGGGCTCTTGTGGCTTAGAGGTTTACAGGGCTCGGACGGGGTGTTGCCGGGTAGGGTTTCCGGTTTGCGTTGATTTGCTCTAGGGCTGCTGCTACGTGCCACACGACGGGGAACCATTGCAGATGCTCTGCTTTCCTTCTTGTCTCATGAAAACTTGCGCTTATTCACTTGGCAACCGTGTAACACGACCCTGCCAGAAGCCAAGACCGAAACCCTTAAACTTCTGAACCTCAAAGCCCTAAACCTCGAACCCCAAACCAAAACCCCAAAACCTTGAATTTTTGAAATTCCGAGCCCTAAACCCCTAAACCGCTGAACCCTAAAGCCCCAAACCCAAATCCCGAAGACCCCAAACCCTAAACCCCAAACCTTTAAACCTCTAAACACTTAAGACTTAAGACCTATATGAGTGGTTGTCAAAATCATGGTCCCTTCTTGGGTGCCTAATACAATACGGCACCTAATATTTAGGGTACCCAAGAAGGGACCCAACAACCACCCATATAAACCCCCAAAGCAGGTCGGTAGCTGACAATCTCCGGCCCCTGGTCACTCAAGACCAGGACGTGCACGAGCTCGGGCCTGAAAAGGTCTTAGGGTTCAGAGTTGTAGGGTTTGGGGCTTAGGGTTTAAGGTTCTAGGGCTTAAGGTTCAGGGTTTAAGGTTCAGGGTTTAAGGTTTTAGGGCTTGGGGTTTTAGGGTTTGGGGTTTAGGATTTAAGGTTTTAGGGTTCAGGGTTTAAAGTTTTAGGATTTAGTGTTGCTGTAGGGCTGAATACGGTTTTGAATGGCTTAATTGGGACGTAGCAATCTGGGTGATCAGCAGTATAATATCCCTCCTGAAGATCCCCAAAACAGTTATACAAATCATGACATGGGCGGGTTTCCGCGTAATCTAGATGAAAAGGACCCTGAAAGCTCTCAGGAGTCTCTAAAGTCCTGAAAAAGCACTGCAACGCCCCGCAAAAAATCCTACAGAAGGCCTGCGCAGGAATCCCAAACCCTAAACCCAGAGGGGTTTGCAGAAAAAACCTACAAAAGGCCTGCGCAGGAATCCAAAGTCCCGAGCGCTGTCCGGCGACCTCAGCGTTTGCGGGGTTGATGATCTTTGGGGCTTAGGGGTGTAGGGTTTAAGCGATTTTTAGGGCGTGCGGGGGATTTCGGGCTTAGAAGGTCTGGGGTCAGAGCGTCCAACCCGCCAGCATCAAAGAAGGCACTATCCACATGAACTCAACCCAGCAGCGCAAGCAACAACAATGACCAGCATTCTATGTAGCATAATGCACCACCACAACCATCGCCGTCGTGATCAGTGCCATGGTCAGCACTGGCATTCATCAAAAGCAAGACCAGCAACATCATACTAGCGGTCATCACCATCATCACCATCATCAGCGTATCCTTTTTTGCATCTTCGTTGTTGCACCAGCGATGTCATCGTCTCCAGGGTCCAACGCTATCATCACCATCGCCCACCGCCAGAACCAGGGATATCACTGGCCATCATAAACGCCAACATGATCAAGACCACGACCCCACAAGCCAAAACCACCTCAACAGCAGCAACTACAGCACAAGGAGTCACAACCAATCTGACGTGAGACTGAAATCAGCAGCAACCAAAGTAGCAACCAGAATACAGGCAAAATCTTAAAGCCGCAGTTGGACGAGCAGTGTAAAGCTGAAATCAGAGACTGCTTTTGCGACCAAAACATGAAAACGAGCAACAAGAGCACCAACAAAAATTAGAAGCAAACTCACACTACCTCATCCCATTTCAGTATCCACCGTGCTCCTCAACATCTCGCATCGTCACAGCCATGATCGCCCCTCTGGCGGTCATCGACATCATCGGCATCATCATCCGTGTCGTCGGTGTCATCCTCATCGTCGTCGGCATCATCGTCATCACCATCATCATCATCACCAACAACAGCAACAGATCACCACCATCATGCAATCCATCACTGGGTCAACCAAGCAAGCAACCAACCAGTCCATCATTCCGCAGCAAGTCTTTGCAAGAAGACCATCCGTTCATGGAGCAGTTAGCCTGCGAAGCCGATTGTGTGTTGATGTTTATGCTGCAGCGTATGCAGAGACTGTAACATGCCGATGCCCTTTTCACCGGTATCAAGGTGCGAAAGTCCTGTTGCTCCTGGCACGCTTCCCTCCTAAGAGAAGCGAAGACTTGCTGGACCTACTGCTTGGAACTGGAGATGTGGGTTTTCGGTCTTTCTCGGCCTCTGAACAAGACAGCAAGCCACTGAGCTCGTGGCCGCAAGTAGCCGATCGTCAGCTGCAGGATCAGGACTCCGTGCCGTGTCTGTTCCGCTGCCTCCTTGAAGAGCAGGTCGCCAAGGTCGCCCCGGTTTTGCGGCTCCTCTCTGGCGGCCTCCTTGGGATAGCCCGCCTCGCCCGCCGCTACCGCTGCTCCTGCTGCTCCCGCTGCGATGCCCAAGGATTGGCGATGGCAAAAGCTGACACTGCCTTGGATACACTGCAAACAAATATGAGCTCGTGGGTACTTGGAGGGTTTAAGCTAGGGATCGTCTGCATCAAAAATGTTTGGGATCATTCCACTCCCAGTGGCGGAAGGCGCCTCCGAAGTGCACGCCTTGCTGAAGGAGGCGAAGCAAGTGGCTATGGCCTTCGCTGTGAAAGCTGGACAGGAGGAAGTCCGCCACTTTGGCCTCTGCTTCGCCTTCAAGAGACTTCAAAAACTGTGGGTCCATCGCATCACCCTCCATCCCTGACTCCCTTCGAGTCTGCTACGAGATCGAGACTTCAAGGCTGCGGACAGTCCAGCCTTTCCACTGTGCTCCAAAGGCTGTGGCTTGCCCTCTTCATGAGGATGGTGATGACCCTAAACCCTAAACCTAAACCCTCGACAACAAGAAGGTTTCAGATGCCCAGCAGGCAGGGGAAGAGCATGCAATCAAGGGCAGATCTCATCCTTTGCTCGCCAACGTCGCAGTTAGGTTAGGGTACTGTGAAACGTCCAGCCCTTGCACTGAAAGCCAACAATATCAGAAAGCCTGAAGACGGATCCTAGCCATGAGGATGTCGTTTGTAGATGGACCCCTACCTTAGGTTCTCCTGCAAATTCGTTTCTCACTGTCCAGTACTACCATAAGTGTTGAGAAGCTCCAACTTCCGCCCAGGTCAGTATCTACATGGGGCCAATCCCCTCGTCGACTGCTTCCACACAGTCAGCAACAACATCTTCTAACTTCATCACTCACTGGTCGGCATCTCTGTTGGACCAGAGGTCACAGGCATCTAAAGACCATCTATTATTGAACGCATGATGCTACCGGTACAAGTGCGGCGGTGCGTTTGGTTACTGCTCTGCTTGTTGCCGCATGCGAATGTATGCACCGCTTTCTCTTGCCCTCACTCCAAATTCCACGGCCAAGCCTTGGAACTCCGCGCCACTCTTTGCCGGAGGCTCTGGGGCCGAAACTCGTGTGGCCCATGCTAGGCTGCTTTGGCATTTAGGGTGGGGAGCAGTATGTATGAGCTATCAGCAATGCAAGGCTTCAGCGACAAAACGAAAGTCAGCTTTGGCAACGTGAAATACAGTTTTTCCCGCGATAACCGAGTTGTCGGACACACCAAAGTTGGCTTGGAATCGGCCTAACACAGGTGAACTTTGCCTCACCCAAATGAAGGTGCACTTCTCCTTTCCCAAGACAAGATGACATTTATAGGCTGGGCCCGCTCAGACTCCAAGTAAGCCGGGCTTTGAGGTCGCTCCAAGCTCACATCATGAAACTCGTCTCATGAAAACATCACTTTCAAGCCCATCAAATCTCAAGCAAGCTCGCTAGCCAACCCTGCCACGTACGGCTGTGCTTGCGAAAGCTTCGGAAATTTCATCTCGGATAGCCTGCCAACGGGCCGCACCCGCCGATGCAGCCATGGAGACGTCCGAGCTCATCCCCGTGAGGATGCCAAAATGTCAGTAAACGGCACGATTGGAACTGTGGGGAAGACATACTCAACAAAAATGGCTTCCATCACGCAAATATGCATGTGTGAATACCTATCTCCATGGAGCCAAATTGCGCTCAAAACGAGCCACTTGCTGCCCTGCATTGGTCCCAACCTCTCCTACGACTTGAGAAGCTGTGCCAGCTCGAATCGAAAGAAATGGACGTGTCATCTGCATGCCGATACACCGCCACCCGCACAACAGAGGCGGGCACGCCGAGACATGTATAACAACAAATAGCCATTGATGCATTTCTGTCTTGATTCATGATTCATTGCTTGGTCGTTCATTCCGTGGTCAACTGTTGATTCGAGTCTCTGCACTATTATGCTTTTGTTTATTCAATCGCTCAACCGAGCATATGCAAGAATGTGGATGTGCACAAATGTATATGCTTGCATAATGTATGCTGCATGCTGCCTATACGAACGTCATATGTCATAGTCAGCTGTCGATACCGCTTTCGGAAGTAATTAAGTCAGCTACGCAGTGCTTTATCAGATAAGCGCCCTGTCGATTGAAAAAACAACCACTCGCCCTTGTCTCCATTTACCCATCAGATCGCCTAAAATGAATACTATACCAATGCGCGTTTGGTAAACAAACATCTCCTTCGTACCTGCCTAACCACGTACGTACATGTGCACATATGTACGCATACATGCATACATACAGGTACATGCAAACATACATGCATACTTACCCACATACCTACATACCGATCTACCTGTCTACCTTGCCTGCCTGCCTTGGACCTGGCTGCCTCGTTGTGTAAAGAGCGCACGTGATGCAGAAAAGCAACAGGCTGCATCGCCGATCCTTTTTCCCACCGCCTCACTTTCGTGGCTGCCGGCTGCATTGCAGGAGAAGGCACGACCTGCATAGTGTTTAATGGTTTTAGAACCCGGTAGAACATCTAGAATCTAGATACCCTAGCACTGAGAGTTTAAGCTCCCGGGTCCCGGTTCCGGGTTATAAACCTCCGAGGCTTCACCGCAGGCCTCGGCGGTGCTTCAGCGCACATAACCACACTGATTCTAAGACTCGGTTTCATGATCGATGGGGCGTGTGCTTCCAGCAAAGATGCCCGAAACAGCCAAGAATCGGGCAGCGCTCGGTCCCGAGCGCTTGCGTCCTGTGAGTTCTCGACTTGGTCGAGTCTGGCAATTCCAGCTATGCGAAGCAAAAAGCCACGACCGACAGTGCCGCCGACCCTGCTTCATCGGACCCTCGTTTTTCCATTGGGCCGCGCGGGCCCTCGCCCGGAGGCCTCTCGGAACGTGCATGCGTTTCGCAGCCATTCTCCAGGCCATGTCCACAGGAGGCCAGCCGGCGAGCATCATCAGCACTCGGGCGCCCGCAACCGGCACTGTGGCGCGAGGCGATGTTAATTTCGTGAGTGGGTTGATCAGCGGTGCGTGCCACATGGAGGGCCGACGAGGGCTGAGACTCCTAGGTTCTCCCAAGAAGCAACGAAACACATCTACATCCTTACAGTATAAGACAGAAAGCTGGTACATCATTATCCTCATGACCAGGTGCAAGGAACATGTATGTACATAACGAGGCTGCGCGCCTCGTTTAAACCTTGCGAGGCATGGAGTGGACCTACCATCGGGCGCTTAAACAGTGTTTGTTGGACATGGTCTAGGTTGGGGCTTATGACCTTAACCCTGAGCTGGGTTTCCACGTTGAAGTTGTCACCTCCGGGAAGAAGCGAGGATTTGTTGAGGAGCTGAAGACCACGAAATAGAGTTTGGGCTTTAGGGTTTAGGGTCTAGGATTTAGTGGCATACTGGGGCCTTAGGGTTTACGAGGGCCTAAGCGTTTAAGGCTTAGAGGTTTGGGTTTAGCGCCTGCCCGAGAGTTCCTGTAAGTGTATTACAGTGCTTCGGGTTTTGGGTTCAGAGCCTGGGGTCTGGGCTTAGGGTTTACTTGGAGGTTCATGGTTAGTCATAAGTGGGGTTATAAGTCCCCTGATATGGGTTATAAGCATAGTTACCCTACTTATAACCCTACTTATAACTACCCATGAACCCTAATCCCTATAACCCTATCGAATCCCTATATAGATCCCTGTGAAGGACCAAACTGAGCCTTCCCAAAAACCCGCGGCACAAAACCGGACTCTGAACTTTCTAGGTACTTAGGACATTTTGGATTAAGACTATAGTCTTGTAGGGTTTAGGATTTTGGGAATATATACTATCATACACCCCCCTCTCAAAAAAAAACGAGCAGTTTACACCAAAACCTATGCAGGAGACTTCTCTCGCAGGGAACCTATGAGAAAGCCGGCGGATACCTGAAACCGACACTTCAGAGACGTAGGTTCATGGTTTAGGGTCTAGGGTTTAGGTTTGCAAAACAGACTCGACACAAGCAAAGCACCATATACGCTTTGACCCGAGGTGGCCCTTCATTGGCCTGCAAAACAACTCTTTGAATGATGTGAAGTCCCTCAGTTCCAATCAACAACGAAGACCAGCTTCCTCAACACTAAGCCCTAAACCCCAAAACCTTAAAGGCGAAAATCCAAACCCAAGACCCTAAAACCCTGAACGCAAAACACAAAATCCTAAAACCCGGCGGTGTTGGGTGCCCGGACGTAGGAGTTTGCAGGCTCATAATCCTCCCAGCCCTTTCTGCGGCCACGCTGCGGCAACGTGTTTTATGTTTGCCGGGTGAGGGTTGAGGGTTGAGTGTTTCAGGGTTTGAGATTTGAGGGTGGGGTTTAGTGTCTGTGTTTATTGGCAGGCAAGATATCTGCAACACAAGGTACATGCTGGATAATAACTTGGTGGCTTAGTATTATGCGTCGCGGCGGACGGTCACATCGTTTCAGGCGGACTTTATACCCTCAACCCTATATACTTCCAAACCATAGCCCCCTAAACCCCTAAACCCTAAGCCCTAAACCCCAAAACCCTAAACCCTCAAACCAAAAAAACCGTGCCATACACACTAATATGGGGCCTTCATAATTAGAATAGGGTTTTGGAGCCCAATATGCCATGATTACAGTAAGGAACCCACCAAAATAGCGTTGGTAAATATTTGGGCCCCTTCCTCTCTCTTCTTCAACAACTGGGCCCCGAAAAATTCAAAAAATTGAAAGATAAAGCTAATAGATAAGGCCAACAAGATTAAAGTCCCTCCGTTCGCTATCTAAGTTAAGTTTTTAAACCATGCTACCCATGGACGGGGCTAATGTTTCTGACAGCAGCTGCGAGGTTCTGAGTATTCTGGAGGGTTTAAAGACTTCGGGATCAAAACTTAAATGTGGGAACCTGATTAAGACATCCTAGTCCTATAACCCCCCGAAGATATTAGGGTTCATATTATACAAAACGCTAGTAGAGGTCCGGGGTTTCTTAGTCGGGTTCCTATGTTAGGGTTTCAGGTCCCAACTCTTCTTTGAAGTTAGGGGCCGAGAAGATGGGTGCTTTGGAGCCTCGGGCTCATCTGAAGAAGACGATGCCAAAAAGCCAATGTAAGCGCAGGCCTCTAAACCCTAAACCCTAAACCCTAAACTCTATCATCTCTAAACTCTCGCAACATGCTCCACCCCGGAACTTCTAAACCGTAAACCCTAACTTCACCTGCCTTACCTCAAGTGCGAGCCTGGGACGCTGCTCCTGTGACCCGAAACCTTCAAAACTAAATCCTTAAATCCAGAAACCCCCGAACAAGACAGCTCCCTCAAGCCTAAATCCGTAAAAGCGCGAATATAGGCGCTAAACAACCAGGGTT